TGTATTTCAGTATGTTTAGGTGTTTGTGAAGTGTCCCATGGGCAAAATACTTGCTGAGAACCAACTCAGTGCCATAGCAAGGTATTTGCTTCAGATGGTGTCCTAAATGCTCAGATTAGAGTGGATTGCGACCCCATGTGCCAGAGCTAGGATTCAGACATCCATCTTGCTCTGCGGTTAGCCCCCATATTTGTAAATTAGATCATTTTCTCCCATCTTTTTCGAATTTTAGGTATTTATATTTTATATACTATGTAGGTGTGATATATGTAATAAAGATGGTTTAATAATTGTTCTTTTGTTTGATGTGCATAAATGTACAGTTGCACAACAGACTCCTAATGCAGATAAAACAACTTTGCCCTTTCATGATCACCATCAAATGGACTTTCTCCCAATTGAAAAATGACAGCCGCAACCTTACGGAAGTGAATTACATGATCACATGACGACATTAGGTCTCTAACACCACCTTGACGTCGACACACGAAAGATCGATGAGTAGGAAGAGCTACATAGTGCCGGAATGGCGCAAAAATGGGGAAAAAAAAGCTAAATCAACGCCGCCTCTACAAGAGAGCCGAAAACCAACACGGCACAGGGAAATATACCTTAGAGCCAGACCCGGAGAGACAGAGGACCTGACCATCAACCAACCTGTAACCCACAGAATGGTGACGCACACCCAGGCGGAATCCAGGAAACGGTATGGGGCACGGAACTGGCGAGACACCATAGCCACGCATCTGAACATATCTGCCCATATACTGCTCAAGCCATACACAGGGCACGGAGAACTCATACAGCATCAGGTCGCTGACCTCCCAGTGAGGGGCATTGGCTGAAGGAGCCGACGGCACTACAGGAGACTTCCCCCAGCCATACCCAATTCTTTGAACTGCCCGATTTATATGGTCTTTTTGATTTGCTTTCTCATATGTTTTATACACAACTCGACTAATGACCAGATAGGTCAACATAGGACCGCTCCCAGGCACATAACACAGCACAACATACCTGACTACAGTTTAGAAACCACACACACACACACACACACACACACACACACACACACACTCCGCACCAGCTGTAGCCATGCATTAGTACTGCTACCAACTTATCACAACGACATTGACACCCCAATCATCACAAAGCGACACTGTGCGCCCCTCCCAGCCGCACACAGTGCTCAAACCCAGAAGCGGCAACTAAGCGACATATGCCCCCACAATAGCACAGTCAGATGACAAACCTAACAACCGCATCAGCCCACACACTGACTACCAACACACTATTGTTAATCGTTTTTTCTTAAAAACATAAAAATGTGCATTGTTTATCACGCCTTAACACTGTTTTAACATGTTACCTGGAACGCTAACAGCTGCTGTTGGGGCACTGTGAGCAATTTTGTACAGTTTTACATCTGCATCAAAAATAAAGAATTAAAATAATTAATAATAAAATAAAATGTATATATCCAACTTACTTACGATAAGGCTTTAGGTTTGAACCAAATTGGACTGAGAAAATTCGAACTGTGTCTTTAGTAGTAATGCCAAAAGGTGCCGAATTCCAGCTGAATTTAAACCTAACGAAGTTGAATAGGAGACTAAATTTGTTTGAAATACAACCACACTGAATCTTACACGAACGCCGTTGAATTTCAAACTAAGTTGAAACTCCCCTGAGGTAAGAGGGCAATTCCATCAACCAGATAAGCCTTCGGTTTTGCAAATGCCGAGAAGGCCCAACGCCAAAGAATGGCTTTTTCAGTGACAGCAAACCGCAGGAAACTCAGTATTTGAAAAGTCTGAATACTGGAACCGGAAGTGATGTGCTGAGCTGATCCCGATAAGGTTATGAGCTAAAGGTGAGTACTTTAAATAGCTAAAGCTAAGCCCACCCTCAACTCAGTGCTCCAAAGCACAAAAAGCCTGTTAAATAAAATACCTTGTGTGCCACAGACATTTTGTACTGTGGCTGCTATTTAATGGCAAATGGTATGATTGCTATAAATACATCATATTTTAACAACTGTCAAGAAAAATATAAAGTAAAAAAATAAATGCAGTATGTAACTGGATCTGTACATAAAAAAAAGAAAAGAAAACAGTCAAAAACTAATTAGTAATTCATGACATAATGTGGTGACAAGAGCAGCCTCACTTATTTTTATTTTTACATGTTGCTGGATAAATCACAAGCATGTGTACGAATTAAACAATACATATAGGTAAGATGCACACATTTCACATAATAGGGTTTTTCAATAAACAGTAAATGGGAAATTTAGCTAGTCTGGCAATTTTAGCCTGAATGTTTCTAGGCACAGTGAGTGGCATAGTTGTGGTTGGTACAACTACGCTGATTGCATAATGTGCGAACATTAAACAATTTTAGTATTATAATTTGCAAGTAAGGTGCCATATGATGTGCAAAAAAATAAATAACGCTTTCAGATTTGAATTCTGCTACTCACAATATTCGGCCACCAGTTTAGGAACTCTGCATTGCTTTGGACTGACATAGAGCACCACCCCAGGGTTCTGTTTGGCAAAATCTACCGCTTTTTCTTCAATAAACTCTCTAAAAGAGAATGCAAACGAAACAGAACAACAACAACATGTAAAAAACATTTCAGCCCAACACTTCCACAATTGATACACAGATAAGCAGGCTCACATATGATGTAAAAAAAAAAAAAAAGAAAATCTAAGAATATTACCTGGCTCTCCCCCCACCCCCATGGGTGTTACCTGCCCCTGGTGTTACCTGGCTGCTCCCCGTGAAGGGTGTTACCTGGCTCCCTACTGTGGTTGTTACCGCGGCTCCCCTCTCACCTGATGGTGTTACTGGCTCCCCTCTCACCCCGTGGTGTTACCACAACCCTCTCACCCCGTGGTGTTACCTGGCTCCCCTCTTACCCCCGTGGTGTTACCTGGCTCCCTCTCACCCGTGGTGTTACCTGGCTCCCCTCTCACCGTGAAAGGGTGTTACCTGGCTCCTCACCCCGTGGTGTTACCTGAAACCCCTCACCCGTGGTGTTACTTTACAGCTCCCCTCACCCCCGTGGTGTTACCTGGCTCCCCTCTCACCCCGTGGTGTTACTGGCTCCCTCACCCCGTGGGTGTTACCTGGCTCCCCTCACCCCGTGGTGTTACTTACTGGCTCCCCCTCTCACCCCGTGGTGTTACCTGGCTCCCCTCTCACTACGTGGTGTTACCTGGCTCCCCTCTCCACCCCCGTGGTGTTACCTGGCTCCCCTCTCACCCCCCGTGGTGTTACCCGCAGGCTCCCCTCTCCCCTGGTGTTGCGCCAAGCCTCTCTCCCCACCGTGGGGTGTTACCTGGCTGCTTTCCCGTGGTGTTACTTGGCTGCTCAGTGGTGTTGCTTGGCTGCTCCCCGTGGTGTTACTTGGCTGCTCCCGTGGTGTTGCAGCTGCTCCCCGTGGTGTTACTTGGCTGCTCCCGTGGTGTTGCCAGCTGCTCCCCCTGGTGTTACTTGGCTGCTTTCCCCCTGGTGTTACCTGGCTGCTCCCCCCCCGGGTTGTTACCTGGCCCCCCTGGCGGTCTGGGCGTCCTTGCTGAAGGTGATTGAGAGCCGTTTCAGTTGGCCCACATAGCGGCCCAGCCCGTTGCGGAGGACGCTCTGCAGGAAGCGGTTGGCGGTGCCCCGGGAGGTCATGGTCAGCGCTGTCACTGAGGGTCACCGCGCGCTCTGCCGCCTCACCCGGAAACACTCCGTCTCCAGGCAACCGCGCGGCCGCCATCTTAGCTGCGGGCAGAGCGATCTCTCTCTCTCTCTCTCTCTCTCTCTCGCTCTGTGTGTGAATATCGCAATATATCGAGGTATATCGCACCTCGGCGGGCAGGGCAGGGCTGGGCTGAACGCGGGTTGGGGAATTCTGACGCAGTTTGAGGTGACAGTTGGAGTCACGTGACAGAATCTCTCGAGCTACTTTGCGGTGTTTTTGTTCCGGCGGAAGTGACGTAGAGCGCAGAGTGTCATGGTGGCGCCCTGTAAGCACGTGTCACACACCGGTCACACACACTGCCCGCCCTGCCCGCCATTACCGCCTGAGACACCATCACCACTGACTGGGCACCATCACCACTGACAGCCAGACAGACACCATCACCACTGACAGCCAGACACCATCACCACTGACTGGGAACCCTCCCTGCACACTCTGCATGGAGACCAGCTCTTAGTGATCCTGATGGGGCTACCTGTGAGACCCCTGCTCTCCTTTCTGGCTGAGATCTCCAGGAGGACCCGGGGCCCGTGCCTGTCACTGATTGTCCCTGCCAGGACTTACAGACTGCTCCCCTGCCTCCGCAAGCAGTCTGGGCCTCAGTATGCCAGCATGGACAGTGTCGTTAAAGCCCAACAGAGGAGCTTTAAGAAGGGTCTTTTGTCCACCCTGGATACAACTTTAAGTCCTGTCACTGTGACAGAAATCCGCCATTATTTAAGGACAAACAACATTTCTTTCCACGATGGTTACAGCTGCATCCATGTGCCCAGCCCTTTCTCTCTTAATCCAGAAAACTGTCTTTTTATTGATAAGACAACCGGGCGCTTCTTGTGTAAAGACACGTTACTGGAAGGTTCCTGGCAGGACTACCAGGATAGCTTAGCCCTAATACTGAAAGAGGGCTACCAGTACCTCAGTCCTGATTATATGGCCAGTTTATTGGGGGATAGTGACAGTGAATCTGGAGAAGAACAGATGAATGACATGGAAGTGCGTAGGATTTGGGATAGAGCTGTTTGGTTCTCTGACCTTGAAGAAGATGATGCACAGATCATAAAAACTATGTTCAACATTTCAAAGATTCCCAATAATACCCTAAAGAAGTTTGGAGTCAAGTGCTACTTTCCTACCAAAAGTCTTGTATTCTCTTGGAACAGTCCTAGGGACTCAAGCTTAAAGGGTTTGAAATTGTTGTCCGCTGAATGTCGAGATCAATGTGTCCATTACATTGAAACAACCTACCCAAGGCCTGCCCGATATAATAATTTGTTTGGACTTTCAGTAATTGGTAAAAAGGAGACTGAAGTTGTAATCACCAGCAGAGAGGTGGACAGTTTGGCAGTGCACCAAGCCACTGGTGTAACAACAGTGGCCTTGCCCCGTGGAATAACCTGTTTGCCCCCTATTCTCTTGCCCTATCTGGAACAGTTTAAACGCATAACTCTCTGGCTCGGAGATGACCTTCACTCTTGGGAAGCCTCCAAACAGTTTGCTCGAAAACTAAACCTTAAGAGATGTTCACTAATACGGTCTGGTGACAAACTGCCTACACCACTGCAGGCATTTAATGAAGGCTTAAACTTAAATAAACTCCTTAAAACTGCTTTTCCGGCAAACCACAAATCTATCATTTCTTTTCGTCAACTAAGGGAGGAAGTATTTGGTCAGCTGGAGAATGTTGACCAGATTTCAGGGGTCAAATGGGCCAGATTCCCTGAATTAAATAAACTACTTAAAGGCCACCGTAAAGGGGAACTGACCATATTTACAGGTATATATGTAGGTTTATAATGTGTGTTTTCTTACACTCGCATCCAGGGTCTGTTAAGACAATTTAAAGTAAAAAATAATTATTCTTTATATTAAATTAAAAGTTGCATATGCACATACTGAATATCTCTACTGGAGAAAATGCTAATCTTACATGCAAAGAGTACTTGTCCATTAGATGCCAAAGTATGCACCCATGAAGAAAAAACTCACAGGCACTCCAACTTCAAGCCGCAGGCAGATTTATTATGACAGAATGCAACGCAACGTTTCGACCGGAAAGGTCTTTTTCAAGCTTTTTCAAGGTTGCCTGGAGACGGAGTGTTTCCGGTCGAAACGTTGCGTTGCATTCTGTCATAATAAATCTGCCTGCGGCTTGAAGTTGGAGTGCCTGTGAGTTTTTTCTTCTTGGATTATTGTACTGGGATTGCTGGTCCTGCTCTGGAGCACCCTTGGCCGTTGGGATTGGGTGCGGTTCTCATCACTTACTCTGCTCAAAAGTATGCACCCATGACATTATGGGGTGGAGAAGTTGCTGCAACACTGAAAGGTACACAGCCGTTAGAGGCAGTCTTAACCCTGCAATGTGAGAAATTGCATGGATAAAGGGACCACTTTAAGTGCAGTGAGGGTAAGTACTTTGCAGCATTAATCAGCCCAGTAAATGCTGAAAAAGTATACTGGAGTGAAGGATCAAGGAACCTCCACTTCTCAGGTGATGGTTCTCCTTTAACACCTTAAGGACCAAACTTCTGAAATAAAAGGGAATCATGTCATGTGTACTTAAGGGGTTAAACTTGTCCAAAGCAAAAAAAAAAAAAATTAATCTGTTACATGTGTTAAAAACAGGGTTCCCTGTTGCTCGTACTAAAATACTAGCCTGATTTGAAAATTCCTTTCCAAGGGGGCTTTTTAATCCTTGTTTAAAGGACCACTCTAGGCACCCAGACCACTTCAGCTTAATGAAGTGGTCTGGGTGCCAGGTCCAGCTAGGGTTAACCCATTGTTTTATAAACATAGCAGTTTCAGAGAAACTGCTATGCTTATCAATGGGTTAAGCCTTCCCCCAAAGCCTCTAGCGGCTGTCTCATTGACAGCCGCTAGAGGCGCTTGCGTGCTTTTCACTGTGAAAATCACAGTGAGAGCACGCAAGCGTCCATAGGAAAGCATTATAAATGCTTTCCTATGCGACCGGCTGAATGCGCGCGCAGCTCTTGCCGCGCGTGCGCATTCAGCCGACAGGGCGGATCGGAGGAGGAGAGGAGGCAGAGAGCTCCCCGCCCAGCGCTGGAAAAAGGTAAGTTTTTACCCCTTTCCCCCTTCCAGAGCCGGGCGGGAGGGGGACCCTGAGGGTGGGGGCACCCTCAGGGCACTATAGTGCCAGGAAAACGAGTATGTTTTCCTGGCACTATAGTGGTCCTTTAAAAACTTCAATATGTCAACTGCAGATAGAGTGAGTGGGGACTGTCCAGGCTAGGTACACCATTCGAAGCAGCACTCTGGATTAATTCAGTGTTGTATTTTGCTACTGTCCTAATTTTAGAGTGTGAGAGTATTTTGTATATAAAGTTACTATTAATGGTGTATGCATTCTCACTGGTGCTTTATCTTAGAGCCAATTTACTGAGGAAGGGTTAGGAACTAGAGCTACATTGTTTTTCTTCTATTTTGGTCGTGCATTCTGCATTACATTATTAATAGCTTTTATATGAGAGACAAAGCTAATAAACTAAACATTCTAGGTTTTGTAGGATGAATCCTTGTTACAGGCCAATTAAAAAGAACACAAAGTACACCAGTAAATGTAATTGTTGATATATTTGCCTTTAACCACTAGATGGCATATTTACTGTGATCACTATGTGAAATATGCATGTTTGCTGTAGCAGTTCTTTGAACTGTAAACTGTCATCATATTACAGAATCCAAAGCAAAATAGTCACCAATTGTATCATGATTTATATGTGGGTCATTTTTATATAATTCAGTCAATGAAATGATGATTCTCTAATTATTAATCTATCCTAGTGTGACACACTCTTGATACATTCTCTAAATAAGAAGCTTAAAATACATTCTGACATGACAGCTGCAAATGCACAGAGAGGGCACAGTATAATTTCCCTATGATCATCTTCTACAAGGAAATAAAGCCATTATACTTGGTTTGTCCATTTTATTAACCCCTTAGTGACCAGACCGCTTTTCAATTTTCTTATCATTAAAGGAACACTAGAGTCACCTAAATTACTTTAGCTAAATAAAGCAGTTTTAGTGTATAGATCATTCCCCTGCAATTTCACTGCTCGATTCACTGTCATTTAGGAGTTAAATCACTTTGTTTCTGTTTATACAGTCCTAGCCACACCTCCCCTGGCTATGATTGACAGAGCCAAACAGATGTAATTTACCTTAAATAATTGTATCTCAATCTCTAAATTGAACTTTAATCACATACAGGAGGCTCTTGCAGGGTCTAGCAAGCTATTAACATAGCAGGGGATAAGAAAATCTTAATTAAACAGAACTTGCAATAAAGAAAGCCTAAATAGGGCTCTCTTTACAGGAAGTGTTTATGGAAGGCTGTGCAAGTCACATGCAGGGAGGTGTGACTAGGGTTCATAAACAAAGGGATTTAACTCCTAAATGGCAGAGGATTGAGCAGTGAGGCTGCAGGGGTATGTTTTATACACCAAAACTGCTTCATTAAGCTAAAGTTGTTCAGGTGACTATAGTGTCCCTTTAACCCCTTAAGGACCAAACTTCTGGAATAAAAGGGAATCATGACATGTCACACGTCATGTGTCCTTAAGGGGTTAAGGACCAGGGCTGTTTTTACATATCTGCGGTGTTTGTGTTTAGCTGTATTTTCCTCTTACTCTTTTACTGTACCCATACATATTATATACCGTTTTGTTTTTCTCACCATTAAATGGTCTTTCTAAAGATACCATTATTTTTATCATATATAATTTACTATAATATTTTTTATAAAATATGATGAAAAAATGTAAAAAAGCACTCTGTTGAAACTTTGACCCCCAAAATCTTTTGCACATCTACAACCGCCAAAAAACACCCGTGCTAAATAGTTTCTAAATTTTGTCCTGAGTTTATAAATACCCAATGTTAACATGTTCTTAGCTTTTTTTGGAAAGTTATAGGGCTATAAGTGCTAGTAGCACTTTGCTATTTTCAAACCATTTTATTTCTAAATTAACGCAAATTACATTGTAATACTGATATATCTGTCAGGAATCCCTTAATAAGCCTTCACATGTATATATTTTTTAAAAGAAGACAACCTAAGGTATTAAACTTGGGGTATTTTGACTCTTTTCATGAAACCATTTTACCACCAATCTATGCCAAATAAAAAATAAAAAAAAATTATAATTGATTTTTTTTTACACACATAGTAATTTAAGAATACATGTACTGAGAACTTTAAGAGTTACTGCCAATTAACACTCCAATATGTATTTAGCAACATCTCCCGAGTACAGTGATACCACCCATGTATAGGTGTGTCGGGTTCTCTGGGGGCTCAAATACCTTATTTGGAGGGTGCACATTCCAGTTTTCCAACTTGGAATTTTCACAGCTGGTCATCATGCACCCATGTCCTATTTGGGACATTTTTGAAGTCCACCAATGTAATTTACCCCCATCAAACCATATATTCTTGAAAAGGTATTAAATATGGGTTATGTCCAGTCTTTTTTAGTAGTCTCAAACACTGGCCAAAGTTAGCATTTATATTTGTGTGTTAAAAATGCAAAAAACAATCATGAACGCTAACTTTGTCCAGTGTTTGTGATCAAGTGACTACTAAAAAAGACTGAACATACCCCATTTGCAATACCTTGGGTTGTCTTCTTGTGCATATGGTATGTCATCACGGGGGTAATTTTCATTCCTGGGCTACCATACACTCTCAAAGGCAACATAACCAATCTGGCGAATTTTAAAGTGAAAAAACTGCCTTATATTTGACCCTGTAACTTTCAAAAACAATATAAAACCTGTACATGGGGGGTACTGTTATACTCTAGAGACGTCGCTGAACACAAATATTAGTGTTTTAAAACAGTAAAACTTATCACAACAATTTATATCATCAGTAAAAGTGCTGTTTGTGTGGGAAAAATGCAAAAAAAGTAACTTTCACTGACAATATCATTGCTGTGATATGTTTTACTGTTTTGAAACACTAATATTTGTGTTTATCGAAGTCTACTGAGTAAAACAATACCCTCCCCATGTACAGGTTTTATATTGTTTTTGAAACAGGGTTAAATATAGTGCTAGCAAATAAAATTATCTGGACTTTCGGCCTGGGATGTCAGCAAGGTCGGTCCCCCAAATTAATTATGTAAAAATATTATCTAAATATGAAAGTATAATTTAAATATATATATATATATATATATATATATATATATATATATATATATATATATATATATATATATATATATATATATATATATATAAAGTCTGCGTATATATTTATTGAAATTATTTAAGTAATTATGTATATGGACATTGGTATATTTCGTTTTATTTATATATACATAGCTATATAATTTCATTCTAAGTGTATTTTGATATAAATATATATGTTATCAAAATACAGTTAGAATAAAATTATATATATAATTTTTAAAATTATTTTAACGTTTGTATTTTTTATTTATATTTTAATATATAGTTATATATTATATATACGTGTGTAATTTTAATCTTAAGTGTATTTTTATATTAATATATATCAATAAAAAAAATACACTTAGTATGACGTTATATATAAGATAAATATACACATATATTGTGTGTGTGTGTGTGTGTGTATATATATATATATATATATATATATATATATATATATATATATATATTTACTTTTTTAACCAGGAAATTCTTGTCAGTAGAACTATTGAACTTTCATCTTAATGTTCTAGCTTTCCTTTTCCAAAGGTCCTACTGGAAGTGGCAAAACAACCTTCATCAGTGAGTACGCACTGGACTTGTGTATTCAAGGAGTGAACACCCTATGGGGAAGCTTTGAGATTAACAACATCCGTCTGGCCAAGCTCATGCTGACGCAGTTCTCTCTTCTACGATTGGAGGAGCAGTTGGACAAATACGATGAGTGGGCGGATCAATTTGAGAACCTACCTCTTTATTTTATGACCTTTCATGGACAACAAAATATCAAGTAATGCACAATTTCTCTGGTACTTGAAAAGCAATCTAGATTAGTGTTAATTTAACTGTGAAGGTTATTTCCAATGCTGTTTAATACGGTGGAGATTAAAAAAGAAAGAAACAAAAAAATATAAGTACTCTGTCATTTTGGCCTCAAATTTGAAATTCGCGTTTAGTTTTCTGGTGATTCTCACTTTATTGAATAACATTAGTTGTTGTGTATTTTCATACCCCTGGTAGTTATCTAGTTGTTTTTGAATTGTACTTCTGATGATTCTTAGCAGGTACTGGTGTTTGTATGATGTTGACTAGTGTGATTAGTGTTCTTGGGGTCATGGGACATATACTTTATCACATACATACATTTTATCTATTATTACTCAAGAAGTTCTTGATTCAGTGGTGCTGGAGACTTCTTCAACAGAAAGAGGGTCACTATCTGTTTTACCGAACCCCGTCTTTCCTGCCCACTTCCCACCAACTCTACCCGAGAACACCTCAGTCACCGCACACCTCCGTCACCACCTTCTCGGTCACTGCACACCTCCGTCACCACCTTCTCGGTCACTGCACACCTCCGTCACCACCTTCTCAGTCACCGCACACCTCCGTCACCACCTTCTCGGTCACTGCACACCTCCGTCACCACCTTCTCGGTCACTGCACACCTCCGTCACCACCTTCTCAGTCACCGCACACCTCCGTCACCACCTTCTCGGTCACTGCACACCTCCGTCACCACCTTCTCAGTCACTGCACACCTCCGTCACCACCTTCTCGGTCACTGCACACCTCCGTCACCACCTTCTCGGTCACTGCACACCTCCGTCACCACCTTCTCGGTCACTGCACACCTCCGTCACCACCTTCTCGGTCACTGCACACCCCGAAGAGGAAGTGGGAGATCACCAGGCAAATGTAGAGCTGTAATAACCTAGCTTTAGCTAAGTAACTGTGGTTTAACAACAGCTGATTGAAAACCATCTTAATTTGCAGTCATGCAATAAGGCAATCTCTGCTAAACTAATGGAGAAGTTCACTAAATGACAAATTGTGCTAAATTAACTACTGAGTTGCAAAATCAAGTTAGATTATTTTTCCAATATGCTTATTTAAGTCTACATTTAGCAATTTACATTGTGTTGAATTTCCAATGACTGTTTAGCAAAAAATCCCAAAATGTCTATATATTTTACCCATTGCAGCCTGCGGAATGTGCAACACAGTAACATTTATGTTTAAAAATCAAATATCACTTTTTTTTTGTTTTAACTTTTGTTCTGTCCAATTTTATACAGACTACAAATAAAACACATCATTACTTGCTTCTGGTTCACGAAGAAATGGAACATAATAATAATGTTATTTGGGGTAAAGGTAATGGCCCCGGGGGATACTAAAATCAACGGGTGTGTGGAGTGAAACTAGTCTGTTAGTATCAAGCAGTTAACTTCATTCAGGGACAGAAGGACAAATCTTAGTATAATATAGGTGTTAAGTTGACAGTCTTAAGAGCAAAATGGGTGCACCCATTACCCCAAAAATACTTACAAAAAAATAATGCAAGGCTCTTCAAAACATTTCCAACATTATCTCCAACTTACAATATTTATAAATAAAAGAAAGCTATAGTTGATAAAACAACCAATCACATACAACACCCAGTGATGAATAAAAATTGTATACTTCACAACATGCTAAAAGGTGGATATTCGCACATAGATGGCAATTACACAACACTCCAGAATATACAAAATATAGATGTAACCATACATAGTGTGATCTGTATATAAATATGGAAGCATAAAGTGGTATGTATACACTTACAAGTGTAGAGCCGTACTAGGCTCTGTATTAACAGCTTCTGAGTGCCAGCACTGGCTACCATTATACGAAAATGCTATAGAGTCCATTTTAAAATAGGGCAGACTTGCCCAAAAAGTATAAAAGTCCATCCCATATTGTGCAAGCTTACAAATATTAATAAAAGGTATTTTATAACAAAAGATCTAAATAGTGTATATGATGCATAAATACCCTTAAAATATTTCCATCTGAGCGTACAATAATACTCAGAATGTGTGAATTTTACCATAAAATTTCAGCATGCAGAAATCAAGTATTACAATGTGTAATGAGAGCCCAGAGAGGTGGAAAGGAGTGCATGAGTTAATGAAAAAAATAAATAAATAAAAAAAAAAAAAAAAATATATATATATATATATATATATATATATATATATATATATATATATATATATATATATATATATATATATATATATATATACAGCGCTACGGAATTTGTTGGTGCTATATAAATAATAAAAAAATAATAATATATATATATATATATATATATATATATAGATGTTGGCAATATCTCCATTTAACAAACATTATAAAAAGTCAAGCCATTAGGGCTTAACGTATCTAACTCAAATATCCATTTAATTTCCATCTTGGGGAGTTCCTAGAAATTGTCTTCTCCTTGCCAATGTAACTTTCTTTTTTTTTTTTTAAATATATATATATATATATATCACCATAAAACTCAAATGGGTCAGATCACTATTATGTACTTTGGCAAAATGGGATGATACACTGTGTTTAGTGTTTTTAGACTTCTTGTATCTACATACTGTAAACCACAGGGGCACCAGAGGACATACACCACATTGGTGGATGGCAAGATAAGGTGCCTTTAATTTTATATTTCTTTTGGGAGGTATTAGATTTAAATTCAACTTGTGTTGTCTTTTTACATGCTGTACACATTTTACAGGGATAAACACCTTGAGATAAATTAAAAACATTGTCCCTGGGTGGGTCCTTAATACAACTTTTACCTAAGATATTTTTGGCCCCTCTAAACACAATATTTGGTCTATCTCCCAATGTTTCGTTCAAATCCATATATATATATTTTTTTAAATCTAAACTAATGGGAATCCTACTTTTTGTAACTTTTAATTCTGGATTTATCGACATATCCCTCTTTTATATATTAAAAAGATTCTCCCTATTTAATGTCTGTACTTCCAACTTTTGTTTTTCAAGAGTTTCGACGTCTGTTTTTTTTCTTTAAAAAACATTGTTAAAACCTTAGTTTGGACACTATGTTGCTCCGCATCGCTGCAGTTCAGTAGCAATCTGATGTATTGTGCTTTTAGGAATATTATTCAGCCATGGTGGATAATGGCAATTGACTAAATCTATAAAACTATTGACCTCGACCTTCTTGAAAAACATTTTTAGTTTTTATAACCTGGTTTTTACGTAAATTTCTCAATCTAAAAATTGTACCATTTTAAAACTATGTTAACTAGTTAAAATTAGGCCCCTTTGATTATTATTTAAACAGGTTAAAATTATTTTAAAAGATCCACATTACCCTTTCGAATGGAAAATAAATGTCATCAATATACCTGCAATAGAGAAAAAAAAGTTCGCACACCAGACACCCTCTGTCAACAGGAATGATTCCTCCCAAAACTGCACCCAGTTAAGCCAACCTATTTATGCCAACTTGGTTCCCATCGCATTGCCAATAAACCGAAGAAAGAAATGTCTGTCAAACCAAAAATAATTTTTGTGTAAAAAATTTATATTCTCTTCATGATAAAATCTATTTATGCCACTGGAAAAAACTCAACATCATATCCCATATAACCAATTATTGAAGCACCTATATACCTACTGCTTTACAGTGTTATTGTTGTGATTACAATACTTATGCCTCTCTTTGTGACCTAGAGTTATTGAGCGATTATGGTCTAAAGGAATGCCAAGGTCATTTTGTTCTGTTAAATAAACCACTTACATGGCAATATTTGAGTCATGCAGGCAAGGATGTAAATAAAATAATTCAACTTTGTGCTAATATTGTCAGTGTTCATTAGGGAACTCCAGCACCGCAGACAGACTTGTACCCACCTAAAGCAACTCTTTATCGCACGCTGTCCATGCAGACACTGTGTGATGTAGATGGCTGTATGCTGGAATGTTTAATCATTTTCTGTTTCTTACTGCAGGTTGGTACTGGACACTATGCAGCACGCTGTGTACATGTATGACATTAATCATGTGATCATTGATAATCTGCAGTTCATGATGGGTCAGGAAAACCTCTTTTCTGATAAGTAAGATTCTGCAAATTATGTACATTTTACATAGTTTTTTTTCTTCTTCTTGTAAGTAGAGTATTGTAAGTAAATTTAAGCAGGGAATTCTTCACCACGTGTGTCTGTTTTTGTATGTCAATTACTTGTTGTTATCCCTTTTATATAATTGTAAAGTGTTGCAAAATATGTTGGCTCCATATAAATGCTACTAATAATATTAGCCCACCTCTCTTGCTGTCTTCTGCTGTAATTGTTCCTGCACAAACTTGTATCCCTTTAACACAGGGTTTGACAAACTGCATAGGGCTACAGCTCCTTGAAATATCACTACTGCTGATAACATTACTAAAATTTAGAACTCGATGGAGTACACATTCCCCAACTTCTGCAAACCAATTGTTAGGATTTTAAATGTCTGAGTTGCTATTAAAGTTTTCAAAATATTGTATTCCTGGTTTAACGAATAATCTCTTCAAGTAATCAGGACATACTTGAAAATGAGAGAAATCTCAATATATCCTTTCTGGTAAAATATTTTATAAATAATCCAAGCTATTAAATGATAGCCTCTGACACCCATAAACTAGAAATATATCATGAATAAATGAAGAAGAATCTGTCCCAGTCCTATGTTAGAAAAGGTCAATAAAATCCTTTATTAATAGAACTAAAAACTCACACACACAAATACTAAATCACTAGTCACTTCAGCCACCATAATAGATAATTAGGGCAGAATATGTGACCAGATCTAAATACGCTAAGTGAGAAATATATACAGGAGGGAGGGGAGTGAAATATACAAAAATGAACAAGATAAGGGAAGAAACCCAGTAGGGTGCCCTTATTTTGTTAATTTTTGTAGATTTCACTCCCCTCCCTTCTGTATATATTCCTCACTTAGCGTATTTAGACCTGGTCACATATTCTGCCCTAATTATCTATTATGGTGGCTGAAGTGACTAGTGATTTAGTATTTGTGTGTGTGTGAGTTTTTAGTTCTACCAATAAAGGATTTTATTGACCTTTTCTAACATGGGACTGGGACAGATTCTTCTTCATTTATTCATTTATTACCCTAGGGTTACCCCCTTATCTGTCCTTCATTTCCTCTATTTTGGATTTACCCAGGGCCAACGTTCTATTAAAATAGAAATATATCATGTGAAATGTTTTGTAAAAAATTTTTTATTGTCTCCTGTTCGTCTCCAATCTATCCCCTTTCCTTCTGAAACTGTGTAGTAACTACTTAACTACTATAAGTGTGTGCAAGTTTTATAGTAAACACACACATTATTTCTCTGTAATCCTAAATTCAGTCTGCCTTTGTGAATCACAAATTCTAAACACCCTTATGGGTATCACATGCAATTTAAAAACACGTTTTAAGTCAACTGCTGTAAAGAGAGCACCTCCCAATCTGCATACTATAGGCTGCAATGCACATTACGCTCAGCCAGCAGAATTCTTGTTGAGCGGGATGAGAGATGCTAGCAGCAGATGGAGTGCAGGTGTGACACGTAGCATAATCCAGCAGTTCAGTTTAGTGTCCGACCACAAACCCACTGTAAGGTAATAAATGATGACTAACGATCATACATCCAGCTAAATACAGTAGGTGAAGTATGGTTTTTGTTTTATCGTCACATTTAATACCTGGTCTTAGTTGGATGAGATTGTGAAAGTTAATATTATGACCATAAAGCTCCCGGCATGCCAACTACCCACACATTTTAATTATGCTTGTGTTTTTTTTGTGTGTATATTCAACCAGTTTTCTTCAGCTTGTGGTTTTTTTGTGGGGGGCCGGGGGGTTCCTCTAAATAGTTTTGTTTCTTAAGCCCACCCTTTCTCCATCTCACTCCAAAACTGTAGTGTTTTCTTTATTTATTTTTATGCACAGACATAATGGCCAGAGTTGCAGTTCAGCTTTTTACTGTAGAACGCTGACCATTGAATATTTGAGTGCTCAGAGAGCTCAGCTATAGAAAGACACGTCAACACAGCTAGAACTTCATTAGAGTTTTTATTATTTTCTTTTTCTTCATATTTGATTCTGAGCTATAACTTTCTGGGTATCACATGTTAAAATGTTTTTACATGGAGACTCCCGCCTCCTTTCCTCACTGCCTTAATCTTTGCATTGGTTACAGATTCGCAGTTCAGGATTACATGGTCGGTGCCTTCAGAAAGTTTGCTACTGAACATAATTGCCATGTGACGGTGGTCATTCATCCCCGGAAAGAAGATGACGATAAGGAATTACAGACGTCATCAATTTTTGGATCAGCAAAAGTAGGTTAATATTCTATCACTCTGCTTTTTTAACATTGTTAGCCATTATCCTCAGCCGGCCTTAACAATTGACTTAGAATAAGGGGAGTGGTCCTCAAAGACTGGAGTTTCAAAATGTTAGGCATTATGTATTCCTACACCGCTTTCCTTCTCCTGCCCAGTTTGTATCTGCAGTTGAGTTTGTTTTGCTTTGTTTTTTTTTTTGGTGTGCTTGATACTCATAGGGAAACAAATTTGTGTTTTGTACTTTATAGTTCAAGAGGTAGATAGTTAAGTAAAAATATTACTAAACAATGTGTTTATTTAGAATTCACCAAACTATGCTACTGCCTTTTTCGTGTTTTTTATTTTTTTGTTTTGTTTATATCTGATTGTAATTCATCTATTTCCTGTAATAGCCAGGCCTTGTTTATTCTCTGCTGTGAGTTGGAGTAGATACCATACCTTCAGTATGCTCTGTTTAATTGCAGGCCAGTCAAGAAGCTGATAATGTTCTCATACTTCAAGATCGGAAACTGGTGTCAGGCCCAGGCAAGAGGCATCTTCAATTAGCAAAGAATCGATTTGATGGAGACGTGGGTATCTTTGCTCTGGAGTTCAATAAGTCCTCTCTGACTTTTTCCACTGGCAAAAACAAAGCAAAGCTGAAAAAAGTCAACAAAGACAATGAAATGCAGGTGGATAACCCTTTAGAAGAGACCCCAAAAAAGAGTAAGAAGTAGACACACACTGACTTTCTGTTAGCACTTAACTAAGTGTGCCGTTCTGCCCAGATGAACAGCTCTGAATCCAAGGACAATATTAGAACCTAAAGCTAGCCGTTCAAGCTGTGAGTTTTATAACGGAATGTTTCTTACTAATCAGGAGCACTTGTACTGACACATTACTTCAGAGGTGACAATAGAATTCAATGGAAGAATCATTTTTTACAGACATCAAAATACACTTTCATAAAAGGGTCAGAATTGATTATTAAAATCTCTTTATAAAATTTCAAGAGACCTCTTGCTCTGATACGGGTCAGGGAGGACCTCGTATGTTTAAGCATTAAAGAAAACCCACATTTTGTATGATTCTGATCATATGACTTTTTGTATCGTTTGTCTTGCATTCTTGAGGTGGGAGATGCCTTTATGGTGGACCTGCCCTTCTCAAAATGTGCAAATGACAAAGTCCACGTTAGGTTATTAACATGTAATCTATACATTGGAATATACATTTACTGAAGTAAATTATTAACATTTTCTTACTACCTCCTTCGTGCTGGCTGTATGGCAGTAGCAGAGATATAAAGGTTCAAACAATGAATGTTCTATAAAGAATTTAATAGTTGTGAAATTAAAGTGTGTTCTTGACACTATAGTTCTAAATTCACCATTTACGTGGTCAGCCCCCCTTACCTAAGGTTAGACAGGTGATTTTCTTTCATTTTTCCAGCATCGCTCCTTGCATCTGGTCACATCCCCGATCCACCTCTTAGGCTGACATCATCAATGGAAAGCATTGTGATTGGCTAAGATTCTGATGATCTCAGCTAAGGAGACGTGTGGTGGCAGATTTAAACGTAGCCCTTGCAAATCAGCATCTCCTCATGTATCAATACATTTCTTGGGTTCAGAAGTGCAGCACTGACCCAGGAAGCACATCTAGTGACCGTCTGAGAAGTGGCAACTAGAGGTGTTCCTAGACTGTTTAAATTAAAAAGCCTGTAGGGACAGTTTATACTAACCAGAACAACTACTTGTTCTGTAGTTGGTCTGGTGACTATAGTGACCCTTTAAATAATGACGCGTATCAGAAAAAGAATTTTAAAAAATGTAAAACATTAAACAAAGTAAATTTATAAATTTAGAATGCTGTTACAGTTTATTATCAAACATAAAATATTCTCATGTTTGCATGAGGAGGAGAAGCAAGTAGTCGTGATAAGGTCTGCACGTGTCTGTATTCACATATGTGTACTGAGTTACATATCTGCCCTTCTAGTACCTGCAGCTATCCTGTGACAGTACATATAATATCTGAAAATTCATTCATATTCCTAGAAACAAAGCCCATTTTGTACCCAATGTTCCTTATTAAGACTAGTGTGTATAGCTTGCTGAGCATCATGGGACATGGAGTACACAAACTGGATTTCCAGTTCTGTAGGAAATGCAAAAGAATAAAAAATTAAGGATTTCTGGGTTTTCTTCATGTACACGATTTTTCCAAAAGGGACTCGATCAAAGCGCACATGATCATACATTAAACAATGGCCATATACATGCTTACTGCGTGGCCAAGTGTGATTTTTTTTTTTTTTTTTTTTTATATGGCTGTCATTTGAAGTAAAGAATTTGTTAGGGTTGCAATTGTTATCTAGACAGAAAAGTTTTTTTCGGGCAAAGAATTGGACAAATAGACAGGGTTGTCAAAATATACCAAGTGTTCAATAAACCATACTTGGTTCAGTATTTGCAAGTTTGTTTGTGGAATAGAGATGATTCCATTTTGTCCTCAAGACAATAGCAAATGATGTGTTTTTATTAATCAGACTGTTTAGAACCAGCTTTTACTTTGTCAATGAGAAAGTAGGCTGGCCAAAGGAAAATAAAAATCCTCCTTTTCATTTCTCCAGAATACTTTGCGTTAAAACTGCCAGCACGTGTTGCTATAATACTTGGCACACTATAATTGAAATATGAATGGTCTGAAAAATGCAATACGGTATTAATCTTTTTATCTTCGGTCAAAGCTTTATCAAGACTTTATAACATTTCATTTTGCACTGCTTGTTTTTTTTGTTTTTTTGTTCATGTAAAATGCAACGTGTATGATGTGATAAAAATGAAACATTTTCTCTAAATTGCAGTGTTATTAAAAAATCCACATTTACACAAATAATTTTCAGGATATTGATTGTATATCAGTGGCCTACATACCAGGGTCGCATGGGTTGCGGAGGCCCAGGAGCCGGCCACCCCAGGGCCCCCCGAGACTGGCCCTGCTGACACCCGGCGGGCAGGCTGTCTGGGTGGCTGGCGCGAGAAGGGAGCACTCTCCCCTGACGCACCACACTGATACCGGAGCCACTGGCATCCCTATGCGGCGCTCGAGGGAGCTGAAGAGGAAGCACTCAGGGGAGAGTGCTCCCTCGCGCGCCGGCCACCCCGACAGCCCACCCAGCAGCACCACTGGACCCCAGGGAATCTCCTCAGCTCTCCAAAAGGTAAGGAGGCTGGGGGGATTAAATTTTTTTTTAAGTGTGTGTGTGTGTTAGTGTGTGTGTTTGTCAATTTTCGCACCGGGGCCCCATGGGTCATGTGTACGCCACTGTTTTATATACATCGCTTTTTATTGAACTGTAAAAGTTGCTACCATTAAAGTGTTTTCAGGGACACCTCTCCCTCACTTGCTGTAGCACTTTGCAAGTTTCAAAATCCCGCCACACAGGGACATTAACATTTACAATGTATCATGCATAGTACACAAATTAATGTTATTGCTCGAAGTGGATATAGTGTGTGAGGCCTCCCAGCTCGCTGGAAGTTACTGGTGATAACGGAGATTATTGCTCGAAGTGGATATAGTGTGTGCGGCCTCTCCGCTCGCTGGAAGTTACTGGTGATAATGGATGTTATTGCTCGAAGTGGATATAGTGTGTGAGGCCTCTCAGCTCGCTGGAAGTTACTGGTGATAATGGATGTTATTGCTCGAAGTGGATATAGTGTGTGAGGCCTCTCCGCTCGCTGGAAGTTACTGGTGATAATGGAGGTTATTGCTCGAAGTGGATATAGTGTGTGAGGCCTCTCAGCTCGCTGGAAGTTACTGATGATAATGGATGTTATTGCTCGAAGTGGATATACTGTGTGAGGCCTCTCCGCTCGCTGGAAGTTACTGGTGATAATGGAGGTTATTGCTCGAAGTGGATATAGTGTGTTAGGCCTCTCCGCTCGCTGGAAGTTACTGGTGATAATGGAGGTTATTGCTCGAAGTGGATATAGTGTGTGAGGCCTTTCAGGTGGCTGGAAGTTACTGGTGATAATGAAGGTTATTGCTCGAAGTGGATATAGTGTGTTAGGCCTCTCCGCTCGCTGGAAGTTACTGGTGATAATGGAGGTTATTGCTCGAAGTGGATATAGTGTGTGAGGTCTCTCCGCTCGCTGGAAGTTACTGGTGATAATGAAGGTTATTGCTCGAAGTGGATATAGTGTGTGAGGCCTTTCAGGTGGCTGGAAGTTACTGGTGATAATGAAGGTTATTGCTCGAAGTGGATATAGTGTGTGAGGCCTCTCAGCTCGCTGGAAGTTACTGGTGATAATGAAGGTTATTGCTCGAAGTGGATATAGTGTGTGAGGCCTCTCAGGTGGCTGGAAGTTACTGGTGATAATGGATGTTATTGCTCGAAGTGGATATAGTGTGTTAGGCCTCTCCGCTCGCTGGAAGTTACTGGTGATAATGGAGGTTATTGCTCGAAGTGGATATAGTGTGTTAGGCCTCTCCGCTCGCTGGAAGTTACTGGTGATAATGGAGGTTATTGCTCGAAGTGGATATAGTGTGTGAGGCCTCTCCGCTCGCTGGAAGTTACTGGTGATAACGGAGATTATTGCTCGAAGTGGATATAGTGTGTGAGGCCTCTCTGCTCGCTGGAAGTTACTGGTGATAATGGAGGTTATTGCTCGAAGTGGATATAGTGTGTTAGGCCTCTCCGCTCGCTGGAAGTTACTGGTGATAACGGAGATTATTGCTCGAAGTGGATATAGTGTGTGAGGCCTCTCCGCTCTCTGGAAGTTACTGGTGATAATGGAGGTTATTGCTCGAAGTGGATATAGTGTGTTAGGCCTCTCCGCTCGCTGGAAGTTACTGGTGATAACGGAGATTATTGCTCGAAGTGGATATAGTGTGTGAGGCCTCTCAGCTCGCTGGAAGTTACTGGTGATAATGAAGGTTATTGCTCGAAGTGGATATAGTGTGTGAGGCCTCTCAGGTGGCTGGAAGTTACTGGTGATAATGGATGTTATTGCTCGAAGTGGATATAGTGTGTTAGGCCTCTCCGCTCGCTGGAAGTTACTGGTGATAATGGAGGTTATTGCTCGAAGTGGATATAGTGTGTTAGGCCTCTCCGCTACGCTGGAAGTTACTGGTGATAACGGAGATTATTGCTCGGTGGATATAGTGTGTGAGGCCTCTGCTCGAAGTTACTGGTGATAATGGAGGTTATTGCTCGAAGTGGATATAGTGTGTTAGGCCTCTCCGCTCGCTGGTGTTACTGGTGATAACGGAGGTTATTGCTCGGTGGATATAGTGTGTGAGGTCGACTGGAAGTTACTGGTGATAATGGAGGTTATTGCTCGAAGTGGATATAGTGTGTTAGGCCTCTCCGCTCGCTGGAAGTTACTGGTGATAACGGAGATTATTGCTCGAAGTGGATATAGTGTGTGAGGCCTCTCAGCTCGCTGGAAGTTACTGGTGATAACGGAGATTATTGCTCGAAATGGATATGATGATTGACACTAAAATAAGTTAATTCTTTTCTTTCTTTTTTTTAAACTTGGCTTTTTTGGCTTAACGTTTTCAGTTTAATGTAATTGCCATTTCTCCACAATTCTTGGCTTAGTGAATATTTGTGAAGAGTTTATTCACCACAGAGAATTGAAAACCAAATTACAAAAATCAGCTAAGGTAGCAATTCAGTGACTAACATGTTTGAGAATTTTTCCAAATCGGCTATTTTGTCCTGAGATTAGCAAACAGCCACATTTGTGTCTGTTTGATGCGGCGAGAACCGTGACAATTTCATGTTTTTTAAATTCAGAATGAGTGTAAGGGAGTAAAAATTAGGGATATAAAATGTATATTTTATAATTTAGTCTTGTTTCTTAAATTTCTATAAAATCGCAAGAATTTGAGATTGGCAGCCTTTCTGAAAGGAAAATTACTGTCTGTGTTGTTATACAGGCTTATTATTGGCCTTGAGCTAAATTTGTCCCGGTCTGCCGGTAAAATAGCAGATAATTGGTAACGCTATGAACTTTTAATAACTTATTCTGCATCAGTTCTTTTCAAAGTAACCATACTCGACAGAAGTGCATCTGTGTAATATTATTTGTAGGTTAAGCTTAGTAATATGTATATGGGGCAAAATATCCAATTACTATAAAAGTAAGGGTTAAGATTGTGAGCGGCAGTGACTATTTTGCTTAGTTTCTTTTTTTTTTTTAACCCCTTAAGGACACGTGACATGTCATGATTCCCTTTTATTCCAAAAGTTTGATCCTTAAGGGGTTAAAGGACACTCCAAACACAGACAAATTCTTGGCAGGTTTAGGTAATAATTCAGAAATGGCTGAGAGTATTTTAACTACGTCCCCGAGAACGCACTGCGCGAGGTACAGAAAATGCATGAACAGCAAAATGTGGTCTAATTTTCTTTTTAAAAAAAGTTTAATTACTTGTAGAGCGAGTTTTAGAATGCTTTAGAAATGCATAAAAATAAAGATAACTATTATAAGCTATTCTAGAAAATGCATTGAATTGCCTGAGAGTGACAAGTAGGTGGGGCAAGGAGGAGCCAATACAAGCCAAACACAACCAAACTCATAGAGATGAATTGAATCGATGCATCTCTATGAGGAAAGTTCAGTGACTCCATGCAGAGGGAGGAGATACTGAATGTCAGTCACACTGTGCAGCACTGCCCCAGGAAGCACCTCTAACAGCCATCTGAGGAGTGGCCAGCAAAGGTATCACTAGGCTGTAATGTAAACACTGCATTTTGTCTGAAAAGACAGTGTTTACAGCAAAAAGCCTGAAGGTAATGATTCTACTCACCAGAACCAGTTCTATAAGCTTAATACAGTGGTTCCCAAACTTTTTAGGTTCAAGGCGCCCTTAATATTTCAGTATTTTTCCAAGGCACCCAAAGTCCAAATTTCTAGGTTGTATATCTGTACAGCGCTGCAGCATTTACTGGTGCTATGGTGTAATGTACAGTGTTGGTGTTTGAGGGGGTGCTTGTATACATTTATTGTGTTTTAATACAGGGGTGTGTTTGTATGTAATGTCGGCGTTTGATTGCAGGGGTGTGTCTGAATGTAATGTTCACTTTTTAATGCGGATGTACATTTGTGTGAAGTATTTGTGTTTGAAGGGGTGTGTTTGTATGTAATATTTGTGTTAGATTGCAGGAGTGTGTTTGTATATTGTGCTGGTGTTTAACTGCTTGGATGTATGCACATACACTACCACATACATACTTACATAGATATACATGCACATTAACACATATATACGCACCTTTACACCTGCATACACCAACATATACACACACGCACCCTGACCCAAACATTGATACATGCACACACCTTGACACACAGATGCACATACACAGATGTGTGCACACACACTGACAGAAGCACACTGATATATGCATACACACTCATACAAGTGATATTTTTTATATCTCCAGCCACCCTCTTGTTAGCTTACATTGTATGTCCAGGAGGGTGGCTTGGAGTCTTGCTGGCTGCTGCGTGTGAGGGGTCTGGAGCAACTCTGGAATGCTCCTCTCCCCTTATGCTGCGGCTGCCTCCTCTCCCTTTCTCTGCATGACGCTGGGAGGAAGTGACAGGCTGTTCAGCAGTTATGTTTTCCTGAGCTATAATCATAGCACCGGGGAAACATTCTGCGGCACACATTTTGGGAATTGCTGGCTTAATAGATATACCCTAATGAAAAAAATGCATGTATCTAATTTTTCATTTTTTCATTGGGGATTATGGTAAAAAGAAAAAAAAAAGCTTGCAAAACCTGCAGATCTGTGTTTAAGCCCTCCCCTTCTGACCCTGCCCAGGCTTTCTGTGTCTGTCCAATCACAGATTTGCCAATGCAGCTCAATGCGAAGTCTTTGCAAGGCAGGTGCTCTGGGCAATTGCTGCCTTTTGAGTTTAGCTGCACTGAGCTAACCAAACCAGGAAGTAACAGGACCTGGTGTCTGATTGACAGCAATAGGGGGGAAGGCAGTGTAACAAGGTTAATTTCTAAAAGTACCAATTTCTATTGAAATCTGCACTTTTTGTGCAAGCTAAAATGCTTTGTGTTGCCCTTGTTTAAAAAGTACAATAACTACTGCTTAGTTAGATTTGCTTAACACATTTGACTCAGTTAATGCTTTTTCTGGTAGGAAAATCACCTTTAACAATCTTGTTAGTATTTGTATTTGAGACCCATGGACCCGGCAGTGCGGCTGTACACAAAGGAAGGAGGCCCACCAGGTGGCCCATGCACTAAGGGCCACCCAGTGGGCATGTGTCAGCATGGGCCCGGTCGGGCGCTGTGCCACTTAAACAACGCACCCGGGCCACTGGGAGGAAGTGATTGCCGTGAGTCACTTCCTCCAGATGAGAAATCAGCGTGTGGGAGGGAGAAGGCAGTATGGAGGGGGAGCAGGCCAGGAGTGCAAGACCATAACTCCCAACTGCCTCAGTCTGCCACTGGACCCCAGGGAAACCACCCTGTGTCTGTGTCTGTCAGTATGTGTGTCAGCATGTCTGTCAATTTGTGTCAGTATGTCTGTCAGCATATGTGTCCTATCATTGTGCATGTGTGTGTGTATGTCTTAGTGTGTCTATCTGTATGTAGTCAGTGTGTGTATCTGCCTGTGTGTCAGCATGTTTTTTTTTTAGAGTGTGTGTGTGTATCTGCGTGTGTGTTTGTGGGGCAGTATATGTATATATGTGCATACATCTCATCATTCAAACACTAACACGACACACAAATACACCCCTGCATTCAAACGTCAACACTTTTTACAAAGAAACGACAATACATACAAAAACACCTCTGTGTTAACCCCTTAAGACCGGAGGGCGTACTATTATGCCCTATTATAGGCGTCTCTAAACGCCGCCAGGCGTAATAGTACGCCCTCCGGTCTTTCTGTACTTACCCGGTCGCCGGCGATCCCACGCGATCCTGCTGGCTGGAAATAAAATCAAATAAATTAAATAGTGTAAAAAAATAAATAAATAATATATACTTATATATATTATCTATATATATGATCTAAGTGTGTATATATATATATATATATATATATATATATATATACATATACATACACATATACACATGTACACTGTCTAGGTGTATTTTACTATTAATATATATATAATTATATATATATATATATTAATATCAAATTACACGTAGACTGATACTGATTAAATATATATATATAATTATTGTTATAAATATATTTATATATAATATAAAAAAATTAAATATGTAAAAAAAAAATAATTAAAAAATATATAGATGTGTGTTATTTCGTTCTAACTGTATTGTGATATTAATATATATATATTTATATCAAAATACACGTAGAACGAAATAATATATTCATCTATATACATAAATATATACGTATGGGGGGCGTGGCCGACCGCAGAGCGAGACGGACATGTTCTAAATCCTCTCCCCAAGACCCGGGCTTAATCCGATGCGATCGGAGACCTACGCGGACCATGGGGAACCAAAAAAAGCACCAGCAGATGCAGGGAACCCTGGGGAAAACCCCGACGGCCAAATCGGGCACTCTCACCCGTTTCCTGAGAGATAGCACGGAGCGAGACACGGAGGCCGCGGCCGCGACCTCCAAGATGGCGGGAGCAGACCTCATGGCGGAATCCCAACCATCCAGCCCGCAACCATCGGAGTGCTCGCTGAAATCGTTGGAGACCAACCCGGACCTGGACATTAGAGATCTCTTAAAGAACCTACCGTCAAAAACGGACATGGAGCGCATGATACACAAATTGGAAGCCTCCCTGCATTCCAAGATGGCGGAAATGGGTACGGAAATTCAACAACTAAATCTGAAGGTGGGTGACTTGGAGGAAGAGAGAGACCTTATGCAGGCTCAAATCACTAACATTTCCACCACCTTAGACTCCCACATACAATTCATGTCTGCCACCCAGAGGCACATTGATGACCTTGATAATAGGGGACGCAGAAACAACCTGCGCATAAGGGGGGTGCCTGAGTCCCCAAACGAAGACCTAACTTTCATATTAGCAGAACTCTTCGGGCTACTGATGAGAGATGTTCCTGCCAATCTCCTGTTATTGGACAGAGCACACCGCTCCTTGCGCCCCAAGGGTATCTCCCAAGACTCCCCAAGAGACATCATTTGTAGATTACACTACTTTGAAACGAAGAACGGGATAATGAGAGCACTAAGGGAAACCTCACAGCCGCTACTTTTTCATGGTAATCCCATACTAATATACCCTGACCTCTCCTGGTACACTCTACAGGCTAGGCGGGCCCTTAAGCCAATCACCGAGCTGCTGCGCAATCGGAGCATCAAGTACCGCTGGGGCTTCCCCTTTGCCCTTATAGTGAACTACAAGGGCACTGTCACCCAAATAGCCTCTATTCTCGATGTTCCTCCCTTTCTCCGGGCCCTGGAGCTTCCGGACACGACGATAATGGATTGGAACTACCCGATACCCCACCAAGACAACATGCAAACGACCCAACGACAGAATTGGGGTACTCCTGCGAAAACGAGCAGAAATGATCCCGGATTCACCTCCCCACAAGCAAGACGGGGGAGACAACCCAACACTCCTGCCCGCAAACGAATGGCCACTGGCGACTAGCAAGCTCTTTCAAGGCCAAGCACCCGTACACAGAGACACAAAGATTGTGGAGGTGACACCGGAGCATTGCATGATATAAGGGACTGAGGTCCCTCTCTCCATAGACTCCAAGGCCGGGCAACGGACATTATCTTATCACACCTACCAGATGGGAGGGCAAGTATGCTCCACCTAACACTATGTACTCTGATACTATTAAGACGTTCTTCTCCCTCTTGCCCTAGCTAAGATTTGTTCTGTCCACCAATTTCACTACCAGGCTTTGTTACTACGGGTCTCTAAGTTTGATTTAGCCTCTAAGAAACGAGAACTATTGAAGTAGGTTCTACCCAGTTAATACTAAAAAAAAAAAAAAAATAACCTTTTACTTACCCAACTTAGGTTCCACATTGGAGCTCTCCAAACGTCCAAACGATTACTTAATCTTTGAGGATTACAAGTCCC